AATAGGTAGCACGATGGCTCAGCTAAAAAAAAAAAAAAAAAAGTGGGCTGGGACTGGGCGTAAGGGTCTGTCATTCTTTCTGGAACGGCCTCTACTTTCTCTTTCAGGAGGATATGATGGGTTGAACATCTTAAATTCAGTTGAGAAATATGATCCCCATACAGGACACTGGACTAATGTCACACCAATGGCCACCAAGCGCTCTGGTAAGAGTGGTCAGATCTAAGGGAGCAAACAGCAATGCTGTCACATCTTCACGTGGGTGGTGGGTGCCGTTGCAGGATGGGTCGACCAATCAGGCTGTATTCCCTCCCTAACTATAGACTTCAGTAAATCACAAGTCAGATTGCGCTCTCCTCTTGGCCTCTGTTTTCTATAAATATCATGAGAATAAGCACAAACTTTCAACTAGGTTATACGTTTGAAGGTCAAAGTCTTGTTTGATCCATGTCCTGTGTCATTGCATGCTGGCACATTTTAGAGCCTTTTTGTGGTTTGTTACGTGGTAGATGACGCTCAGGACAGGACAGCACCACAGCCCTGTACCCTGAGAGCATCTCGCAGCCCAGTGGGCTGGGCTGCAAGGAAGGGGAGACCCGGGGCCATTGTCCTGTTCTTCCTCTGGGCCATAGTCACTGCCCCTTGCCTTCTTTTTCCCACTTCCTTCTTTTCTGCTAATGGAGAGGGTTGGGCTCTGAGTTAATCAAATTAATGGCTTTTCTTTTCTCATTTCACCTGCCAGCCGAGGGGTTTACAGATGAGATAACCTGTGCTCGACTGCCTGCTCCAGGCCAGTCTGGCTCTCGTCCTCACCCCTCAGCTAGCCATCAGCCACCGTGTTTTGTTTCCAGAATTCAGATGCTAAGCTCAGTGGTAGTAAGTTGCTGTACTTTTTTCCACAGGTGCAGGCGTAGCCCTGCTGAATGACCATATATACGTGGTGGGGGGGTTTGATGGCACTGCTCACCTCTCCTCCGTTGAGGCGTACAACATCCGCACCGACTCCTGGACCGCTGTCACCTGTATGACCACCCCACGGTGCTACGTGGGGGCCACAGTGCTTCGGGGCAGACTGTACGCAATTGCAGGGTGAGCATTTCACACCAGGCTGGAGTCGGCATGCCTCGGGGCAGCGTGACCATGTGCACTGTGGAGGGGGATGGCATGGGTCAGGGGACATATCGGCAGTGGCAGCCTCAATGGAGAGGACAGAAAGCTCATCTCACCTTTGCTTCTCCCTCAGATATGACGGGAACTGCCTGCTGAGCAGCATTGAGTGCTATGACCCCATCATCGACAGCTGGGAAGTGGTGACATCCATGGGGACCCAGCGCTGTGATGCTGGCGTGTGTGTTCTCCGAGAGAAGTGACCCCTGTTGGCGCACCACTCAGAGCTAGTGACCAGTCCAAGGGGCAGTTTGCGGGAGAATCAAGGCTCCTTTCCAGAATGTCTGTTTCTCACTGTGCACAGTGTGATGACCAGCACCAGTGCGGTGGTTATGGTACTTATTTGACACGCTCCCCTCGTGCTGGCGTCATCCCCAAGGAGGGCGGGGACAGACACTCAAGGGAAGAGAGTGCACACTGACTGGATGTGAGAGGCCAGTCACCTCTCCTCCTAGTCTGGGGAGCACCTTCTGCTGTGTCTAACTTCCTGTGTGCTTAGGAGGACTGTATGTGTGTAATGCCTCGTGTGTTGAGTTAAGGTGAGTATGGCCACCCGGGTGTGGGCAATACCCAGCCTGCATCGGGATTGGAAGGGCACCAACGTGAGGAAGCTTGGTAAACTGCAAGCCTTTGTTTTCCAGGAATAAATACCTGTACTAGTCTACAGGTAGCTAAGGGCAGCATGCTTCCATTCTGGAGGAGAACAAAGTGAAGAGCCCTGTCAAAACTCTGGGGACCTGGGGGAGATCTGGCTGACATTCCCTTACAGGCACAGGGTTGGTGCATCAGCTGGATTTAGAGCAAAGTGCAGTAACCTGAATATCAGGGCACGTGACTGAACCCAGACCAGCCCTGAAGAGTAATCTGGAAGACCGAGGCGGCCGCGTTATTTGAAGGATCTTTTGCTTCCCCCGAAGTCTTTGAACTGCCTGCTGCTTCTCTTGGCACTGACTGTCGGAGAGAACAACAGAGTGGACAGATGCTGGGATGGGCCGGGATGGAGTAAGGGTGGGAGTTCAGTGTGCCTGGAGACAGACTGGAAGTACCTGTGACTTGGCGATCATCTTACTCCCTGCCGGGGCTCATCTGTGCATGGCAAGGTTTGCCTTGAGTGGGTGACAGATTGTCTTCGTTGAACCACATACTGCTATGACATTTCCATGCTATTTATTTGGGGGTGGGACGGGGGTGGTAGCAGCGTGAATTCAGCTACTTGAGTGCTGCCCCATCCTTTGAAGGGCACACTTCTGCTAAGGAGTGGTTTCTACTGCTGTGTTTGGTACATTCAGTCGTGCTATAAGGTACCCTTACATGTCCTTACAGTGAATTATATTCATCCCGGGACAGAGTAATCAAGGACAACCAAAATTCTTTCATCAGTTCCAGTACCTGCTATCACCATTTCTGAGTTCCCGTTCAAGGCTCCCATGTTATGGAATGAAATTCTTGCTTTGTGGGTAGTGGGAGTGTGGCAACGTAACAACCGAAATAAGGATGCCCTTTCCCTTTACTCTGAAATTCCATGTTTTCCTCTTTATCTGAGTTGAATTGACCTGAAGAGTTCATTTCCTTTGTATTTTTTTAAGAAAATATTAAAAATCATCTATCTCAGAGGTCTGTAAGAGTTTGTGGCACACCAGCACTGCATGCAGACCATCTGGAGGGCCAGGCATAGAGCACACCTGTAGGCCCCGAATCTCCACCTGTTCCGCTCGTGTGTGTGCCAGCTCGCTCCACTGAGTCCCTGCCGGACATAGGTCAAAGGTAGCCACTTCACCAATGGAGTCTCCTCGGTAAAGTGTTCATCGGAGCTGGTGATAGTCACTGACTGCTCTCACATGTGGAGGGTACTTGAAAACCATAAAGGGAATAAAAGAAAATCTTGAGCTCATTTAGTACCCACTTGAGTTTTAGGGTTTTAGTCGCCCCAGCCCTTTATCTCTTTGCTTCAATTTATGACACGTGATAGAAACAGCTATGTAAAAGGCCTGCGAAAGGAAGCCTGCCAACCTTTCTTTAACAGATGGGTTGTGGCTGCTGATGAAACTACATCCATGAAACGTGACCCTGTCTCAGTAAAAAAATCAGGAGGCAGAAAAGATGGCTCCCAGGGTGTTTCAGATCAAACTCCCAACCCGTTCTCATATGACAGCCGCAACCGGATATCCTGCAGAAGACGTAAAACTCGCAGCTGCCTTTCCAGCCTTAGGTAGTTTGACGTGCACATACACACTGCCCCTGATTTGGTGGTTCTTCCTGTTTCTCTGGCTCCCTTACCTGGCAGCTAGCCGCCTAGTTATCCAACCTCAGCTATCATTTCTGTCACAATACAGACATTTGATTAGTTCCTGCAGGATTTTATCTTTAATTGTTCCAAATCCATCCTATTTTCATGCCCTTTGCTGCCACCTAGTGCAGGCCTCTATCTCTTGCCCAGTCCTGACATCCTTGCCCCCACTCTTCCTGTCTTCCAATCTGGCCCCTCCGTTTTGTCATCAGTCACCTTTCTGAATCCCAGGCAGGATCATTACAGCACCTTACAAATGGCAAATTTTCATTCACTCAAAAAAGTTATTTCTGGCTTAAAATTTCATGAATTCCTATTGCCCATATAAAATTGAAATTCCATAGCATGGCATTAGACCCCTTCTACCGTCTTGCTCTTGCCTTCCTTGACTACCTCGCCTCCCCCAGGCATAATGCGCTTCCGCCACAATGGTCTACTTGCCATTCCTACATTTGTTGTCACTTTTGTTCATGTGTGCTGTTCCTTCTCTGCAAAATAATCTGGTTTTCCTGCCAAAGCCCTACTCACCTTTTAATGCCTCATCCCAACGTCACCTGGATAAAGCCTTTTCTAGCCCTAGACAGTAACTCCCTAGTCTGTTTCCATTTACTTTGTTCCCGGATTGTCTTCATCACGCATCGATGGGTTGGGGTCTGTTTTCCTGCTTAGACTGTTCTCAGATACAAAGTGCGTGTCATCGAATCCTCAGGGGCTAGCATATTATACTCACTAAGTGTTGAACTAATGGAGGAAAAGAAAAAACGCAAATAGGGGCGGCGGGTAGATTAGACATTACCTAACCAAGTGGCTTCGTCACCCCTCGTATTCTGCTTCCCCTGCCGTTTCAGGAAACCCATGGCCTAGAAATAATAAGCTGGAGATCTAAAGACTCATCAGGTGGGACGAGAAGGTCGTGTGATGACAGAGCAGTGGCTTAGAGCTATGCCTGCACGCAGGGACCCTGGAATGCAACCGCTCTGCTCTTGACCTCCCTCGTTGTGCACTGGGGGTACCCGGAGGCAGCCCCATAGGGGGAATTGTATCAGCTGAACGGCTGCTACAGCTTCAACACACGGCTTGCCGCATCGGAAGTGGCCACTCCGATTGGAGCAGACAAGCAACCACAGCTTCCAGGCGTCGTTTTCCAACCCCAACGAGGTACACAGTCTCCTATAGAAGCCAGTGGGGCCGAAACTGCCGATGGGGGTCTCACCCCGATCCCCTTCCTGGCGCCTAGTCCCTGCATTCATGGGACTAAATTCAAATCTCCGGAAACTAGAGCGTTATGCTCAACTGAAGGACTCGTCGGGGTTCTTCTCATTAGTAAGGGAAGCCTAGTGACAGGGGAGTGTGGAGAGAGGCTCTGTCACGTCCCAGGCAGCGATCCGGTCACAAAGCCGCGCCGACACCGAGCCGCTCACGGGCGGCCACGGACGCGTGCGCGTGCGCAGCAGAGTCTAGCACGTGGGAAGCGGACGCTTGCGTGGGGGGCGTGGCCGTCCGTTCCCCCGCCCCTTCTGAGAGTCGCGCCGGCGCAGTCGGAGAAGAGCGAGCCGAGCCCGCACATGCGCGGTCGAGGCCCCGAGGCTGGGGTGGCGGCTGCGATGGAACCCGCGGCGCCGCCGAACGAGCTGGTGTCGGCCGAGGGCCGGAACCGGAAGGCGGTGCTGTGCCAGCGCTGCGGCTCGCGGGTCCTGCAGCCGGGGACGGCGCTCTTCTCCCGCCGGCAGGTAGGGGCCCGGAGCGGGGAAGGGCCGGGGAGGGGGAGGCGGCCGGGCGAGCCCCCGCCCGAGGCGTCGGGCCCCGCGGAGGGTCTGGAGTCGGCGCCCGGGTCTGTCAGCCCCTCGGGCCGCCGGGCGGGGCCGTGACCGGGTTCCGCCCCGCGGAGCCCCGCCGACCCCTCCGACGCGCGTCCGTCCTTCAGGGGCTCCAACAGAACCTCGCTGAGTCGTGGTGTTTCCATGTCTCTGAGGCACCTGTGCAGGATCAGGGGCTCTGGTGGGACCTACCCACCAAGTTAGCTGCCCCAGACTAGACATTAATGTCTTGTTTTCTACCCGAGAGTCACCCAGAAGGCCTCATCGATTCCAGATGTTACGTCCCATGGCCTGACCCCGGCAGCCAGGCTGGCTCTGCAGGGAGCAGGTCGGGGTCCTGTCGTCAGGTGCCAGACTTACACACACGTACGCGTGTCTTGTGGGCCTGACTGCAGGATCTAAATAAGGATGGGGCTCTTGGGGAATGGAGGGAAGGGCTCGTGGTAGCATTTCCCTAACGCTAATGAGACAGAGGCAGTGGGGACCCGGGGAGGGGGCTGGTGTGCCTTTGTTGGATGCTTCCCGAGGGCTGATGCCCAAGTGGTCTTTGATTTTTTTCCCCGTGGATGTAGTTAAGGTGTGGCTTCACACCTGCAAGACAGGGATACGCCGGAAGTGTTTTTTAGGGAAACTTAGGCCCACAGGAAGTTACAGTTAGGACTGGGATGCAGGTTTCCTGGTGCCTGAACTTTGATTCCTAGCTCTCCTTGCCTCCACCTGTTCCCATGTCCCCTTAGGGTAAAACAAAGCTTTAGGGACCCATGTAAGCGTCAGATGAGGCAAAAAGAGTGACTGGAATGACAATATGATGGCGGCGTGACTATCCTATATGCGATGTCCTCAGATGCCATCTCAGGTGACACAGCACAGATGCCTGTTTTAATCCGCCAGGTGCTTGCAGGGTGGGCAGTAGGAATGTTCTGGGGCGCCCCTCCTCCCTTGGGGTTCCCCACCCCACCTCACCAGTGTACCTCCAGGCATTCAGTGCCCACTCGGGGACTTCCTAGCTGTGACATGGTGAAGGTGCAGGGGAGCTTAGCCATCCCCACCAAAGCGTTTACCTTGTTTGGACTAATGTTAGTCTTTTTTTTTACTTTTAAAAATTCGGTGTTTTATGGTGCTTGCCAACGCCAGACTAGCACACTAACAGTTTGGGGGTGTATTGTGGGGTGGGACGTAAGAGTCGTGGCAGCAGCCATGAGGGGTAATGGGCTTGGCTGGCATCACCTGGAGCAGCTGAAGGCGTGGGAACTAACCGAATGGAGAGAGTGAAACGGGGGGTGTGCGCGTGCCGGAAGCTTTTTCCTGATGACAGGAAGGCATGTGAGTTAGAGGGTGAGGATCCTAGGGCTAGCAGTCCAAATTCTAGAGCCCGATGTTCCTTTTTAACGTTCTTTTTTAAATCCAGCATATTCATAACAGGGATGGGATAGAGCAAAGCTGGATATCCTCTATTTATTCTTTTAGCAAATGTTAGAGCTGCTCTGTAGCAGTCTAATTCTAGACACTGGAGATAGAGTGAACAGAAAGGCAAGCTCCCTCCTTTCCAGAGCTCACCTAATGGAGGGAAACCCATGGTAAATAACTAAAAGTTAATAAGGTAATTTCAGAGAATGGTAAGTACAAAATAAAGAGGGAGTAGCATAAGGGATCTCGGGGGTGATGAATGTGCTCGCTCTCTCATTGTGGCAATGGCTCATTGGTGTGTACGTGTGCCAGAATGCATCAAATTGTACTCTTTGAATACGCACTGTATGTGCCAACATATCTCAGTAAAGCCGTTTTTAGAAGTAAAATTACAGAGAGCATCCTGGGAAGCTACTTCAGGTGGCGTGGTTAGGGAAGACCTCCTGAGGAGGTTGCTTTGGAGCTGAATACCCAGAAGGAGCTGCCTCGCCAGGACCCGAGGGCAGAGCAGACTTACCCTGTTGGAAGACGGCAGGAAGGCTGGCGTGGCTGGTGCACAGCGAGCTGGGGGATGAGGAGCAAGTCCGGCCTTGGAGCCGCTGGGCAGGACAGCAGTGAAGCCAAGTTACCACTGCAGCCAGTCAGAGGTCCTGTTTCATGTTGCTTCAGACTCAGGGCACAGACCACAGGCGACAGGAGCCGCCCAGCACCCTCGTCTGTAACTTGATGCGAGGGGCCCTTGTTTGGTTCCATTCCGAGAAAGCACTGGGAGCCGTGCGGAGGAAGGGGTGGCGGGTGGCGGGGCAGCCCCGCTCTGAGCGTTTGGTTCTCTTCCTCTGCAGCTTTTCCTTCCTTCCATGAGAAAGAAGCCAGCTCTGGCCAACGGCAGCAGCCCTGATGGAGACATCCTCCAGGAGCACTGGTTGGTGGACGACATGTTCATGTTTGAGAACGTGGGCTTCACCAAGGACGTGGGCAACGTCAAGTTTCTGGTCTGTGCAGACTGTGAAATCGGACCCATCGGCTGGCATTGCCTGGATGACAAGAACAGTTTCTATGTGGCTTTGGAACGGGTTTCCCATGAGGGGGGGGGGGGGGGTATGTGGCAGGGAGGGGGCTCAGCTCCACCCCCAACTGTAAAAGCTGCTGCTCACAAGAACTGGTACTTAACCTGGGCAACGGCCTTCTCTGTCCTGATACAAATCCCAAGTGTCGCACGTCCAGCTGGGCGTGCAGCGGGTAGTCCTGCTTCCTCAGCCCAGCATGCATGCCCCTCGCTCTGTTCCCTTGGCATCACAGCATTTCCTGGTCTCCCTTTACCCCCTGAGGTAGGACACCGGGATGTCACACCCAGCGTTCTGCCTGGCTCTCTTACCCAGGGGCCCTTGCTTCCTGCCCTGGAGCAGCTGCGCCCACCGTTTAGCCAAGAGGACACAAAATAGATGATGCTTTTGTGCTGATAGTTGAAGATCCACCTCTCTCTCAGGCAGGAAACATACAGGGGTCTGAGAGCGACCGTGTTGTGGGGCTAATTGTATCTACAGTAATTTATTCTTCTTAAAAGTATAGCATTTCCAAACTTTAGTACTTAGACTACTAATCAGACTTCAGACACACCTGATACCGTGTGTGAGCGCCTCTGCTCCAGCTCGATAGTGACCTTGTGTGGTGAAGGTGAACATGGCCCCTCTTCCCATCACATCATGATATGGTCTCTCTCTATGTTAGCGCCTCACTGCTGCAGCCTGTAAGTTGAGGATCAGATTCTCAACCCCATCAGGTGGCCACCCCAAGGGAAGCTCGGCCTGAGCTGTTTCCCCAGGATCTCTGAGGACCACAGCAGAGGCTGTGGGCTATTGGGGAGGCTAGGCCTTTGCCATATCACACAGTAGTTTGTAGGTTTGTCTTATGTGGACAAGTAACACTGCCTTTGTTCTTAAGAGACTCCTATAAAGGACAGTGAGTGTTGTCACTTACTGAACCTGCAGGGCGTGGTTCTCAAAGTTTTGGTCATTTGGAATATTTACCAACCAAGACTACAAACTTCCCATCCAGACACCTCTACTTCTGCAGCTGTGGGGTTGCTCTGCCAGTTCTGTGCTGGCAGACTTGTTCACCCATTGAGTAGCTTTCCAGCTGTGTGTCACTTTTCTTCTGGAATGACGTACCTTTGGAGAAATCTGTGTGACCAGGTTCAGCTGTCCTCTCCCTCCCCCGAGATCCAGGAGGCCTGGGACTGAAGTAGAGACATTGCAGCTTGCAGTCTGTTCGTGTGCATCTGGTTTTGCTTCCTGCTCCCTTCTCCCCAGAGCTTACGCTGAGGGCTCAACTAAAGTGCGGGCCGTGGGCACAGTTTTGCAACCAGCCACTTCCCTCTTCCCCGGTCAGAGCCTCAGTGAGCTCTAGGAGAAAACAAGAAAACTGTTTTCCAGCGAATCGGTCAAATGTCCATGATAATGGCATTTGCAGAAAAATAGCTGTAAGAATTATCCACTCAGGTCAGAAGGAACAAAACCAAGTAGATGCCTCCAGGGGCGTGTGGCCCCTCCTAGCACAGCCAAACCTAGGCAAAGCATTTTTTTAAATTAGGCTTCGACTTTTCTTTCCTTTTTTGAATTACAGAAATAGTACACATTCATTGCAGATAAATACAAAAATAGGTACAAACATTTTTTTTAATCACTTATATTTCCACCATCCAGAGATTGCCAATGGTAATGTGGTGTTTATCATTCTCATTGTTTTTCTACATATATATTTAAACGTGTTGTTTGGTAAAACAAATATTAGATCATATACTGTACTCTTTTATAACTTGCTTTTTCCATTTAACAAAATACTGGCTTCTCATGTTAGTAGATGTCCATCTGTGTACACCATTGTTGTTATTCCATTGTATTTTACTGTAATTTATGTCAACAATCCACTATTAGATTGTCTCCAGCTTCTTATAAACAGTGTGATACAACGTGCACCCTGTACTTACATCTGGATAGGCATCCCTAGCTACGTCCTTGGCATACGTCATTAGACGTGGGATGGCAGGGTGTGCCCATTGTCAGTCTGCTGTGCTCACTTAGCCTCCCCAGCAGTGTGAGACGGACTCACTTCCTTCAGTCTTTCTAACACTGGGTATTTATTATCATTAAAAGAATATTTTGCCACTTTAATAGTAGAAAAAAATAGTATTTCATTGTTTTGATTTGCATTGATGTTTCTAATGAAATTTTTATATACTTATCGGTCATTTGTATTCCTTTTTTTGAGAACTGCCAAACATTGTTGCCACAGTCTCCAAAAATATCGAGTTGTTATTCTGCCTTTTTGGTTTGATGTAAAAGAAATAAAGGCATTTAAACCATGGAAATTAGATTCCTGCATGTTCTTGGGAAGAAGATATAATTTGCAAAAGCAAAGGAGAAAGGAAACGTGAACCTGAGGGTTTGAGGTCTGTCAACAAATTCATTAATCACTTAGCGTCCATGATAAAATGAGCATGTCATCTCTTCGTTCCCCTCACACATGCTAGGTTCTCAGTAAAGACTCGTGAGTCAGCTGAGTGCTGTTTGCCGAAGGTGGGTAGAGGTAACTCATGCCTGCTGCCCCGAGTATAGAAAGCTGCAGTTCCTGTTGGGGAAGGCACTTGACTTTTCCAAGGCCTAATTGTTTCTACAAAAAAAAGTTTTAACACAGAATCAAAGATGAGCAATGGTGCACTGACATTTTGCACATTGTGACCATGCCATGCAGAGGCTACTCAAGTAACTGACGTGTGACGAACAAGACTTCTGCCCCTGGTAAGTGTGGACAGGTAATTTGGAGGGACCACCCGCTGAACGGGAACTAGACAGGCTGGACAGAACATTTGTGAAGTCTGAAGGCATCAGAGGGCTGACAACCCTGAAGAATCACTGGATCACGGCAAAGGTGGAGGCTGGAGGAGGGGGGCTCAGTGGTAGGGCCACTTCCGGGGCACTTGCCAAAGTTGGAGGCAGCAGTTCGGAATGAGGCCTTCCAGAAATAGGGGACGGGGATAGGCCTGGGGACTGTCCCTTCCTTTGGGGAGAGGCCTTCCAGAAATAGGGGACGGGGATAGGCCTGGGGACTGTCCCTTCCTTTGGGGAGAGGCCCTCAGTCCTTTGCACCCCAGGAATAAGGATGAACCAGAAGTAGGAGATGCAAGGGCCCTCAGAGCACTGCAATTAGATTGAGGCAATCCCCAAACTTTTGGTGTAAGCTAACAAAAACGCTCTCTAGAGGAAAACACCATCCTAAACCTGGAATTGTTTCCACAAACAATTTTGCTAATACAATATCCTGAATACAGTGAAATGTAACCAAGCATGTGACACAAGATAGTAAGAAAACCAGGAAACAGGACAATGGAAGCAGGCCCAAAGAGGCTGGAGGTGACTTTACAATAACTGCTTACTATGTACAAGTTTGGTGGTGTCAGTGGCTACCTGAGCATATAAAAACAAGCGAATTCTGGAATTTAAATCCAATAACCAAAATTAAGAGTTTAGGGGCAGGTTTTAACATCAGATTAGGCACAGCTCAAGAGAGAACTAGAAAACTGGGAGCCAGAAATTAATAGATTTGCAAGACTAACAGCACAAAATTTGATACAACACAACAGAGAGAAATCGAAAGAAAATATTTATGGGGCTAGAAAACAACAGCCCACAGGCCAAATCCACTCAAGCCGGCGTCTGCTTTATTCCGGCTCAGGAGCTGCAAGCTGAGGATGGCTTTTACACTTTTCATTAGATAAGTCTCTACAGAATAGCCTCAACTTTGCCTCAGCCCACAGAGCCTAACATAGTTATTATCTGGTCCTTTAAGAAAAAAGTTTGCCAACTCCTGACTAATATTGGAATTCTCTACTTTTCCCCCAACAACTGATACACAAATTTAATAAAATCCCAATTTTAAAAATCGCAAATTGTGTGTGTGTGTGTGTGTGTGTGAAATTCAAAAGACATTCTAAAAATTATATGAAAATGCGGAGAACTAAGAATAACCAAGAGAGTCAGAGGGAGGAACAAGATGGGGAACTTTCTCCGTTGCATCCAAGTCCTAGTTTGTCACAAGGATAGACACATACACCACGGGAACCAAACAGCTCAGAAACAGACCCAGGCAGATGGACGCAGTGACTGGTGACGAAGGTGAGTGATGATTTAGAAGCGCAGGAGGGGCCTTCTGCAGTGCTGGTAACATTCTGTTTTTTAAAATCTGCATGTTGGTCATGTGATACACTAAGCTGTACTTTTGAGCGCTTTTCTGAATATGTTATACTTTCATCATAAAAAGGTTTTTAAAAGCGTGTCGTTAACGGTCCTATACAAAGTCCACTTTCCTAAATGTTAACTCTTCCCTTCAAAATTGGATGGCATTTCTTCTTTATTATCTCCAAAACCTATGCACATTTACAGATTAAACCCTTGAGTCTCCCTTCCTCACCTGTAAGGAAGGTAAATTTTGTAAGCCTGGGGACCAAGGACACCCTGTCTGCCATGGTAACTTGGTGCCTGGCCCAGCGCCTGCCAATCGTAAATACCTGTTAATGGAATCTAAATTAAACTCCACTAACTAATGTGTCATTTTAACAGGACTAATTTAAAGTAATTCATACCAATTTTTTTAAATGGAGCCGCCCAATAGTGGAGAGAGGTGCAGGCCCCGTTGGAGACCTTCCCAAGGTTTCATGTACTTTTTTAAAGTTAATTTTCTAAACTACAGGAAAGTGGAGGGACTAGGACAATTAACACCACTACCTAGATTCAGCATCTGACTCTCCTGTGTGGCCTTTGTTTTCACTTTGCTGACCTGTTGAAACTCACTTTAGCTATTACAGAACACAAAAATCTGGTTTTGTGCCTAAAAAATTAATACTGCCCCAAGATAAGAACAGCTAACCAGTATTCAAACTTTCCGAGTTGCCACAAATGTGTTTTATAGTCAGTTTTTCAAAGGCAGGATATAAGGATCAGGCGTTATGTTTATTATTTGTCTCTTAAATCTTTTAATGTAGAACAGTCCCCTCTTTTTCTTGATTGTGACTTTGAGGGGACCAGTCTCATCGTCTTGAACGTCCCACATTCTGATCTGTTTCCTTGTGGTGGTTAACTTGTTCCTCTAACCCCTTGTTTCTTACAGACTGGAAAATGTCCAACACCAGTGACTGCCCATCCCCAGCTGTGGGATTTGTGTCCAGGCCCCTGCAGGGAGCACAGAACCGGGAACTTCTGCTGCTCACTCTTTCGCCTTCGGTTGGTACCAACTCCCAGCCCCGCACCGGGAGCCCGGCCCAGGGGCAGGGGGCAGTGTGCACGTGCACGCCTGGGGGAGCCTGTGACTGGGCGGCAGAGGTGGGGGGCGGGGGGCAGTCAGTCTGCATCCTACATACCACTGCAGCCATCCTGGAGGCCTGAGCCCGTGCCAGCCACGAGTGTGCCCTGACAAGGGCCATGCAGGCATCTGGGCGTTGGTATATGGGGCAGGGCATGGGGGAGGGGCTTCTCTGAAGCCTGCGGCCTCCCTGGAGAGGGTCATGGAGAAGTGGGTGCAGTCTATGGATGGAAGGGTAAGGGAGAGGAGTTCTGGGGGTCCTGCCCCTGCAGCCCTGTCTGTCCCCAGCTTTGTGCCTCTCATCTCTGTTTCCCTTACACCTACAGACGCAGCCACGTCCGACGGGAGGTGGGACCAGGCCAAAGGCCTTCTCACCCTTCCCCGCCTTCCTGTGCGCAGGGCAGGGTGGCCCCTGCCTCCAGCAATCCCAGCCAGGGGACGTCCAGTGGATGGTTGACCCTCCTGTCCTATATGAGCAGGCCACCCCAACAAGTAATCAGGCCCTGGACCTGGGCTGCGGCTCCCCACGTGGCCACTTATCTCAGCCACTTCACAGAGGTGTAAGCCTTCTAGGGGTTCTGATGGAAGGTTACCTGCCCCCAGCATTGTGGGACAAAGTCTCAATTTCAGTGCCAGGAAGGGAAGCAACATTTTACCTGTCCTCCATCCTCACAGCCAGCAGAGGGCAGTAGAGGCCACCACCAGCGGCCGTCCACCCAGACGCCCTGTAAAGTCACAGGGTCCCAGAACCAGCATTGTGAAGGGTAGGGGTCTTTAGCCTGGGGCTGTGAACATCTGAAGTAACTTTTTTTTTTAAGATTTTATTGGGAAATTGGGGGAAGGGGAACAGACAAGTTGCTGTCCTTTTGTTCTTCAGTCTAGTTGTGGAGGACGCTGCTTCACTGGCCCAAGTTGGCACCATCATTGCGCTCTTCCCAGGCGAGGCAGATCAGTCGCCGGCTTCTGGACAGCCGCTCACGGCAGCTGCTGGCCGCTCACGCTGGCTGCTGGCTACACACGGTAGCCCATGGCAACCCACTGCCACAGGAGCTGCAGCCTACGCCGTCGCCGGCGACTCACAGCAGCCCAGCTCCAGGTCGAGCTGTTGTTCAGCATCTTAGCTGTAGGGGGCAGTGTCACTGGCCCTCATATGTGGGATCCGAACCGGGGTTCTCTGGCGTCCCAAGCCAGCTCTTAACCAATGCGCCACTCGTCCGGCCCCTGAAGTAACTTTTAAGAACCCTTATGAACCTTTTAGGCAAGAAGGTCTATACCTCTCATTCTCAAAGGGGGCCCCAGTGAGAAGGGAAGCTTCACTCTAGTGTCCGGCAGTGGCTAAGGGTGACACTGGATGGCCTCCTATCACAGCCCGAACCTTCCATGTGCCAGGCTCTCTAAGAGGTGGGGTTCTCCTCTGGCAAGACCCTGACAGAGCCCGCCCAGCCCCACCTCAAGAGCAGGCCCAAATGGGCCTGGACCACCGGCTCTGATTTTCAGCCGTTCAAGTTGAGCACATAACTCAGGATATGTCTGCTTTTTTAAGCACCAGTGAGCCTCGGGGCTGCCTGGAAACGTCGCCATGTCCTGGCTTTGGGTCCAGGGCACTGGTTGTTACTGGGAACTGTCCCCACACCTGGGAGCCCTGCTTGCTCGATCCTGGGAGCGGTTTGCTGAGAGGGGGATGCCCAGGTGGTGCCTGTCAGCACAGTGCCTGGACCACAGACTTGTCCCCACCGTGGAGCTGCTGCATTGAATAGGGCAGTGGCCCTGTGCCATCCAGTCCCCAGGGGTGGTTCTCGTCGTCTGGTCCCCGGCTTCCCCTGTCATTGCAGCTCTGGGCGTGGAGGGCTGACGGTCTCCAGCCTGCCTTTTTCCTCTTCCCCTCAGTCATCTTGTCCCAGGAAGACAAGGCCCTCAGCTGATATCATCGTTCTGTCTTAATTCCTTGAAAGCCCAGCTCTGACACTGGCCTATGTCTTCCTTAACTGTACCCGCTTTCTCCCACTCTATGGCTCTTACGGCTGCTAACTTTCTCCTTTAGAATCTTTGTCTCCAAAGCTGCTCCTGGTGGATACTTAGCCTCCTGGTTCCTCTAGGACCCAAAGGGCTGGGGTTAGAGGTGGAGTTAAGTCCAGGAGGAAAGGAAGGACGTCAGCGAGGCCTCACCAGTGCGGATTCAAGGGTCTGTGTGTGTCTGTGTTCGGCACATACGTCGAGCCTGCTCTGCTGGTATCTTCACCCAGAAACCAGCAGCTTGACCTTTTCTTCCCTCCCTTCCTTTCCCCGTAGGTCACGTGAATTCATACAGCACTCCTTGCTTCCTCTGTTAGTTCAAACCACCAAGTAGAGAGACCACCTCCCCACACACAGGTGCCCCAGGCCATGGAAGAGAATGGTCAGCGTGGGGTGGGCACCTAACCCAGCCTCTCAACCTGGTGTCAGGCTCAAGTGGGCGGAACGGGTTCAGTCAGCATTGGAACCAGCTCGCAGCTGCTGTTACCTTCCCTTTGGCTCCAAACTGGAAAAGATGTGGAGACCAGGGCAGCCACTCGGCACCCTACAAAGCACCAGACAGGCCCCCAAAGGAAGAATTACTCCGCCCAGAAATATCAGTAGTGCTGAGACTGAGAACCTCGCCTTAACGGTCTCCTTGACAAGAAGGTGCAGGAGAGGGTACAGGTGTCCTGGTGAAGCCTGCGGTGCTTGGACCAGAGCCAGGAGACTCTGGTCTTGTTTATAAGGACACCTGTTTATAAGGACACCAATCCCGTTTATAAGGACACCAATCACCTAGGATGCACCCATATGATCTTTTTTATCTTGTTTCTTTAAAGGTCCTGTGTCCAAGTCACATTCTGAGGTACCGGGAGTTTGGATTTTAACACAGGAATTTGGTGAGGGCACAGGTTAGCCCTCACAGGTACGTTGGCCTTGAGGTACCTGAGGGCCTGGAGATGCTGCTCTGGAACTGAGCAAGTCAGACTTCAGCCACTGGTGGCCAGGTCACCATGGAAGGCATGAGGACAGAGGAGACACCCGGGAGTGCTGCTGTCCATGGGGTGGGGAGAACCAGGGCAGAGGCCGTCACGGAAGCTGAGGACACCGGGTGTGTTTTTGGTGCTCGGGTGCGACTGGTGTCAAATACGGCAGTGACACTACAGCTACATTTGCAGGTGGGAAGTAGGAATTCCTTCTGTTTTTTACTTAGTGTAGAAGAATTCAGCTTTCGTTCACTCACGTGAATGGGAAGAAAGGAGTTAGACGCTGTTCAAGACTTCCGATGTTCTGGAAGGAAGTGTGTAAGGGGTGAGAGAGACGGGAAGTGGTCGGTTCATCAGGCAGCACACCAGAGCCCCAGACCCTCAACACGGCGACCGCCATCAGCTGGATCTGTGCGTCCCACACAAAGTCTCTCGGTGCCCCTGCCCCTGCCATGCTTGCACCCCCCTCCCCGCCGGCCAGGGCCCAGTGGTGCACCCCTGCTCTCAGAGGCCCTTAGGTATGTCAGAGGGTGCCACTTGCGATGTACAAGCAGGACTTTTTCCTAATTCCTAGCCACTCAACCAGCAGTGAGACCCAAATATTTACCTGAGAGACAGGCAGGCACAGGCTCTGGCAGAAGGACTCCCAGCAGATGGGATCCAGTGTTAATTATGAGGACGCTGGTGCACAAGCGGGTTTGTGGAGGTCTGACAGCAGCACAGGCACAGCAGATAGGGGACGCCCTGCTGCCTGGTGGACGGGGACCGGGAGGATGGGAGCTGCCTGGGGGTTTGCTGACAGGTAAACCGAATAATGCACAGAACAGCCCCAAACCTGAAACTAAGGTGACCAGTAAACGGGCCAAGTTCCTCTGGGATCATGGCAGATGCAAGTGCCCAGGATTTCAAGTTCCGATAGGGAGGTGAGAGGGGCGACGTCAGGACAGCCCCCGTGTCCTCTGGTGGGCAGAGCCCTCAGGAGACGCTGGGGGTGGGATACAGACCTCCAACCGTCACACACCTCTGACTAGGGCTGTGCAGACAGCAAGTGCAGGAGGCCGCGGCCCGGGAAGGCTTCTCCGAGGACCAGTCGAGTTGGCCAGGCCGGGACACGGCCGGTGGACAAGACCCGGTCAGGTGGGGGTTTGAGCCATGGAAAGAACTGTATGGCAGAGATTGTGCCCATGACATTGGTTAGGTGGCTGTGGGCAGACGGAGAACTGTTTCTAGCATACCAGCCATGGGGACGCAGTGCAGAATGGTAAACTGGGGAACGTCTCCCCTTGCCTGCCGGCTCTGAACCCTCACACCCAGCAACCCTGAGGACATCACCCTGTAGACGGAACACTTGGGGTCACAGAGGTCAAGTGCCCACTACCTGGTTCCTCCCCTACAAGGCAGATGCCACCAATGAGTGCCCAGATGGACTGGGGGACGCCTGGGCTCTCTGTCTCATCTCAGCCTTCTCCATGAGGACTTCTAAAGTTGCCCAACCAGAAGGAGAAGAATCATGCCCTGGGGCCTTTGGTGGGAAAACCCGCCCCTGCCCACCCACCTGGGGCGGGGCTGGCAGACAAACTCCTACCTGCCAGGACCTGTCTGAGGCTCCCCGGCCAGCGGGAGGAGCTCAGGCAGCTGCTGAGTATTGGTCGCCCCTGGAGCCCTGGGGCTGTGCCAGCGGGGCTTGGCAGAGTGGGCTCCCCACTGAGCCTTGTTGACCTGACCACAGAGGCTTTGCAGAGCACACTCCTCAGGCACTCAGTGAAGGTTTGGAAGAATGGAAAGGCAGGACCCACAGGTTGCTTCTGGGGGCGGGTCCGAGGCGGGGAGGTAGGGGCTCAGCTGTAGGCTCCTGGGTGGTGTGGGCTTCTCCCCAGCTCCCAGGAGGGATGGGTGTGTTAAGGCCTCTCTGTTCCCGTTCCCTTGGCCAATGCTGGGCAGCAGGAACCAAACGCCATTCCCCTAGAAGGCAATTCGGAGGACACGAAGCAGCTGCTCTTGGTAAAGGGTGTGGCAGGCACAGAGGGAGAAAAGGAGGTCAGTGGGGAGACAGCTGGCCCAACTTGAGGGGAGCCCGAGAGGCCTCGCAGGGGATGGGGGCCTCGTCCCCCTCCCCCCCACTTTGCTTCCTCCCTGCCCCCACCAGTGTAGTGTCTCATGGTGTTCAAAACTGTGTTTTTATAGCTTTGAATGAGCATTTTAAAAATTGGGAGGTCTAACATAAAACTTGGGGTTTCCAGCTTCTCCTGAAAAATCCCCATCTCTGGCACACTGAGCGGACACCCCTACCTGGCCCACCATCTCACGCGTGTGTGTGCATGCACACACCCACCACACTGCTAACGGCCAGGGCACACCTGATCTCCAGCCCGCGCCCATCTTTTGAGCTCCATCCAGATCCCTCAACTGTCCAACGTCTCCACTAGAATGGGCAAGAGCTAGCTCAGCTTTAACAGAGGGAGAGAGAACTGCAGATTCTGGCTGCCTCCCAAATCCATCCTCACCGAGTTTTCCCGGTCTCAGTAAACAGCACCACCGTTCGCCCAGTTACTCAGGGGAGAAATCTAAGAGTCACCCTTGATGCTTTGGAGATCACAGTCAAAAGAGTGTGAGGCCGCTGTGGCCCAGTGGGGAGAGTGTGGCCCATGCCCGCAGGGGATGCCTGCAAGGGGCAGCCAGCGGTGACACCTGGGATGGGGTTTCCATGTCCCCTTTTCTCAGCTTTAGAGAAGTCAGCTTAGTGTTTGGGGAACCAAAGACCCTAGGACCATTCCAGTCCCAGCTCTGTTATTACTTGTGTCACTTTGGCCAATTAACCTTTCTGAGCCTCAGTTTCTCCATCTGAAAAATGGTGACAGTATCTACCTACTCCTCAGAGTTGGTGTGTCCAATATAGCTACTCCCAGCCACTGGCCCTGTCTTATTCCTGATGGTACAGCAGTTTCAGTTGTTCACATATCACACCTTCCTGCCAGGGGGAGAAGAAAGGAAATTAGCACGTAGGATTTAGTGTGTCAGATCATGCTCAGAGGACAGGAGACACAACACAGTTAGGTGGAACTCTGTGGTTTCAAACAAGCACTGTAGGCTCCTAGCGCTGTGTGAAGTTCTGCTGTAATTAGTGTAGGGAAGACTTTCATTCCAGATACAGGGAATTCCAAACTTTCCAACTCTCCAAGGCCAGAGAGCATGCTGAGGGGGGCTCCTCAGCCCAGAGGCCTTAGTTAGGGGTGGCAGCGGCTGCAGGGTAAACAGGGAACAGGAGTTTCCCCCTCTGCCTGTCAGCCTTTTTTTTAGCAGCACAAGGTTGGGAGTCCAGGACCTCTAAAGTGGCCCAACCAGAATAAGAGGTAACGCCCCGAAGCCCTGGCCCTGGCGTGGGTAACTCTGCCCCTCCCCATGCCGTGGGCAGAGCTGGCGACCATGGGAACACCCAGCTGCCAGTGTCTGTTGGAGGCTCCCGGGGGAGGGGGAGACCCTGAGCCCTGATCCCCTCCTGCTGAATCAGCAGAGAAGGGGCTCCAGGACTGCAGAGGGAGAGGAGGTATTTAGTTACCAGGTGTCGTCCCTGGATCCAAAGCAGCTTTCCAGAGACAGAAGCCCAGAGATGAGACCTTTGTCATGGTGTGAGCTAATCTGCAAGGGTGGCATCAATGGCTGGCCATGGGGCAGAGGTACCCACAAGAGACCAGTCCCCCACAGAAAGGAAATGCATGGCAGGGCAGCGGGGAAGACAGTTCCTCCTCCTCTGCCGGGCCCCCAACCCCCACGTGCTGATTTGCTGTGCCATCGCTTCTGGCTTCACCTGGGAGCCAGGTTCTTCTTCAGTCCAGAACAAAACTCCGTCCTCAGCCAGGCGGAGCCACGGACACGCAAGCACACTCCCACCCCCACCGTCGCCCCCGCCCCAGCAAACATTTGTGGCGCTTCTACCAGGGGTCTGGTGCCCAGGTTAGAGACGATCACTCCCTCCGTTCGTTAGCTTGCACTCCAGTGGCGCAGTGAGCGTGGGGGAAGAGGGTAGGGCCGCAGCGGGGAAGGCAAACCCCGAGTTCTAAGCGCAGTACCAGAGCGGTAACGAGGCGCCGTGGGAGGGCACAGGAATAAAACGCGGAGGCCCAAAAGGCTGCTGGCACCACACACCCCAGGGCGCCCGAAGTGGTGGGAGCGATGGTGGCACTGAAGTGGAGACAGGAGCTGAGAGGGATGGCGAGGGAAGGCCTGGCCCTGGGAAGAAGCGGAGAGGAGGATCCTCAGGCCTGCGAGGGGGGTGGTGTCGGAAGCGACGCAGGACGAGGAACGTGCAGACCCCAGATCGGGGCGGCGGGGGGAAGTGTT